GCAGTGCTCTAAAGAAGCGCTTCTCTCCAGAGCTGTGTGCCTCCTTCATCAGTGATCTGCAGAACCCAGTCATTTGGGAACAGAGCTGTGGAGGGTTACGGGCTGGGAGGGCTCGTCTGCCCACGAGATGGTCTCTGGGGCGCAGCACAGGGCAGTGTCTGCGGAATGGCCCGGTATGGATGCGGACGGTCGTGAGCCTTGCTTCTGTTCCATCTCATCCTTGGCTTTCTTTTCCAGAAAGGGACTACAGCAGCCTGTGTGACAAGCAGCCCATCGGCCGGCTGCTCTTCCGTCAGTTCTGCGAGAGGCGGCCAGAGCTGCAGCGCTGCATCCACTTCCTTGATGCTGTGGTAAGAGCCCCGCTAGTCACCAGCAGCCCGGGGACTCTGGTGCTCCTGGGGTCGGGTGCAGTTTGAAGCCAGGGCAACCTGCTGGTTTTGGGAGGATCGTGGCAGGAGGGATGTCTGTCTTGTACGATTGCAGATGGCAGGATTGGCTCCAGGCACCAGCGAAGGAAGCAGGTGCCTGGGGTGGCCAATAGAAAGGGGTGGCACTCCATCCGTTAGTGGGGCGGCACGTCTGGGTCTTTGGCGGCAATTTGGCAGTGGTTCCTTCACTCCCTGTCTTCCTCTTTGGCGGCAACTCAATCGGCTTTTTTTTTTTCCCCTCTTCGCTGCTTGGGGCAGCAAAAAAGCTGGAGCCGGCCCTGGCAGGTGGAATGACATTGTAATATATGGAGTGTAGGGAGCCCTGCGTTTGCTCCATCGGGGGTGAGAAGGGATGCAGCAAATGGAAAGCAATGGGATTCTGAAGGGAAGGGGAAAGTGGATGTAGGGGTGTGCTAGATGGGGGTGTGTGGTACGGGCTGAGGGAATTCCCATGTAGCATTGGCTCTGCCAATAACTGATCTCTCTGGGAGCTGGAAGTCTCTCAGGAACATGTGCAGTGAGACAGAAAACCCACCCTGCACCGGGCATATAGCTCCCGATCAGAACGATCCTATGGAAACGTCCCGCACAGCTTCACAGGGACTGGAAATTGCTCTTAAAGCCTCATAGGATGTAAGATCAAATGAGGATCTTTTGAACCATCCTATTGAATTCTACAGCAGAACTGTGGGGGCCCAATTGTGCGGGACTTGGGGATGACTCTTGTGCTTTAATTAGACACCTATGGTTGAATGGGGCCATAGAGAATATCTCTGCTATTGAATTCTGTAGGAGGGTTCCAAGCTTCTCTCTTGCTGTTCAAATGGCTTTGTAAATACCAGCCTCCATAGAGGTGGTGATTTCCTATGGCATTCACTAGGATGTTTCCATGAGGGAGAAAAGGTCACTTGCCTTCCATCTATGTTCTTTCGCTGTTGTTGGATTGTTAGGTGGTGATGATGATGGACAGGTGCTTCTTAGATGCAGGAGAAAATGAAATAGCTAAAGTGCACCCTTAGCACCAGTGCTATGGGGCCAGTGCGTTTCACAGCCCTTTCTAAGGCAACTGTGCAAAAATTCCATCCAGATAACGTGTAACTTCAGTCAGGCCTCCTAGTGAAATCATATCTTGGCGTTCTCAAGGGCTTTTTGTTTTTCCCCTTGAAGGTTTCCTGGTTCTGGAAGCATGGTCTGTCCAGCAGGGCTTGGTTTCACTCTGGGTCACACCAGAAGATTTGGGCTTTTTTCCTTAGCTAACTTGAAGTTCTGATCTGAAATCCATGTGCATTTGCTGTTAGACTCTTCTGATGCCAGGAGGCAATTTTAGATGCTGTTTAATAGAAAACGTAAGCCTCCTAGAATGATCTGTGTTTCCCATTACCAAATTGTTTATATAACTGAGGGAGCTTTTGCCCTTCAGACTGAGAGGAGTTTGCTTAGTCCCATTTGGTTTGGGTCAGGGGAAAATCTCGCTCTGTGTTGAAGGAAGCAGCCAGTCCTGCCAGCAATTCAAGCTGGTGTACGAAAACTTAAGCATTTTTCTTTTTTTGCATAGTCTTGATGCATCTGAGTGGCAGAAAGGCCGATCCAGTCATATGGGTGTTTAATGGGAAACACATGCCTGAAAAACAATCCTGGGTTTGTGTGAGGCTCTTTGAGCTTATGGAAGAATTTATCTTGCCCATCTAAGTCAATTAAATAAAACTCCTCCAACCAAAGTTGATCTGGTGGTTGCTGGTAAGTACAGGTAAGTACCTACTGGGACTCTTCCATGTCTCCAGATACAAATCCTTTTGTCTCCAGCTAGTAAAATTCTGCAGGATGTTCCAGCTCCTCCTTCCACCACTGTCCTTCCCTTTAATCCCCTCCTTCTCTCCTGCCTCTCTTGTGGGCTGACAGAGCAACACCGCATTTCCTCCTGACCAGCCTCACACGTATGTGCGTCACCTTCCACACCTAGAGTCTGTCCTGGCCCCTCATTCGTTGCGATTCAAGGAGATGATTTAGATTTTGTGACGTGAAGCGTGTAACTTCTGATGTTTCAATAAAATTTCACATCCAAATTTCACCAGTAAAAATGGAGAGGAGAAAATTTTTACTTAAGTCTTGGTGAAATTTGTCCCTGTTCTTGACCCAGCTGTGATTTCAGTCTCTAAAGCTCCAGATTGTTTGAGTCTGGGCTGCTTTAGAAGCAGTCTCTCCTCTTTCACACCACGAGCAGCCCCTGCATTCCAACGCCAGCGGCTGACAAGGCTGACCATGTTTAAGCATCGCTGTGTTCCAGGGTGATGGCCACATTATCAGACAGTTCTCTTGCTATCACGCTGGAGAACTAGGCCTCTTGGCTAAGTCACAAGCCTCTGCCCTGGTTCTAATGCATGTGGTTAGCTATAGACAGGGAAGGGCCCTCTGCTTGGGGAATCCATCTCCCACCCAGCTGATAGAATGGGCATCTTTTTGTCTTGTAGGGCTCTGTAGGCAGCTCATATATTGCTTTATGCTGTTGTCTGAGCTGGCAGAGTGGGGAATGCTTGGCTCAGTTAGCAGGCAGAGTCCCTTTGAGGCTCATGTGGGGTCACTGAGTCTGGGCACGCTGTAGAAACTGAACTGGAGAAGCCTCACAGACTCTGGCCCGCTCCATCCATTCTCTATGGATTGGGAGAGACAGTCCCTGGGATAACTCCAGGCTGGTTTAGGGCTCCAATCCTGGCTCTGGAATCCCCTCCTGAACTTGAGAGCTCTGTCTTGGAAGGGCTGCGTCTGGATGCCCCTGGTCTCTGGCTCTCTGACCTTGGTCTGGCGGGTGTTGGTGGGTGGGCTACAGTTCTCTGGCGTCGGGTGGGTTCTGAGTCCTGTGTGCTCTCTCCCAGCTGCTGTTTGGTGCAGTCATGAGGTCAGATTCAGTTTGGCCCGGCCCGGGGGGAAGGCGACTTTGAGCACAGCATCATAGAGATGCCCCCTATGCTTCTGAACTTGGGGAAAATTCTCTTCTGGCCACTTCCTGGACCCTGGGTGCTGCCAGAGCAGTGTCTAGGGCCGGGTGGGGGCAGCCCCTCTCCACCGGCCTGAGTGTCTGTGTGTAGGCTGGTCTCATTTCACTTGGAAATGTCCCTGCCTGGCCCTGGCAGCAATATGCAAAGGGCGTGTGGCTTCCTGGCTGGGATTACGGGCACCCCAGCCCTTTGCGGTCTGCACATCATTGTTCAGACCGCTCTCAGGGCCTTCCAGGCATGTTGGAAATTACAGAGAAGCTAATGACCGCGGCAACTGCTAACAGCTCTGGAAAGCCTCCCCAATGCCCTGCTTGTCTGTAAGAAGCCTGTGAACAGGGGCTAACCCCTCCGCACAGCAGTGGGATTTCTCTTCCTGGGAGGGCTCCTGGTCTGTGCTGCTGTTGCAGACCTCCCAAGCCATGCAGCCTGGCGTCACACCAGGGGGCTGTGTGGCTCTGCATGCTTGGAGTTCTGTTGTGAGCTCAGGGAGCGCGCTCAAAGCGCCGTCTCCGTGCAGACGGTCCCAGTAAAGAAACCAGTGTCCAGTCTCTAGTTGTGTTTGTGATGGGCGTGGGGGGTGTGCCGGGGAGGGGGACACACA